ACCTCCTCTTTTGCATTACATGGATGTTCTCTCTTTCCTTATCAGTAAGCAGACACTCCTAACTGTTACCTTCACATCCTCTGCCATCTTCCTCTAGCTTCTGGCCAGCTTGACATTTGCAGTAATAACTGCCAACTGTATTACAGCATCAATCTTGACAGCCAGCATTGTCAATGGTACATTCATTTATATCTGCAAGTGAATAAACAGAATTAGCCTCCTATAACTAGACATACAAAAAGAAACTTTGGTGGCTCTCTGATAAAAATGACCCATCACAGAATGACATCATTATTTAACATCAGATTGCAATAAAACATTATTTCATTTTAATTAGAATGAATGCACTCTAATTTTGATATGAAGAAACAGACAAGTCATAATCTTGGTATCTGAAATATTACTTTTGAATAATAAAATAAGGGCTTTTCTAGTTTTATGGATTTGGGACAGTTATGGTACAGACCCAGAAATTTCACATTTGAGTCATCATTTGAGGATGAAATGGAGAACAATGAGAGAAACTGTATATGAGGTCACCTGCTTACCCATTAAGTATGTTGTTATTGGCTTCTCAATAATTATTACTTACCCACCACTTCATGTTTGCCATTGCAGTGGACAGTGTGATAAAGGTAAAGGGTATTTCTATGGTTTCCAAAGTTTAAAGTGTAGCTGGAGTTGAGGACTAAACAGAAATGTAATTTGGTTGGCCCATATACAGCATGTGCCCACAGACCACTTCTAAACCCATGGCCATCACTCATCTTTACAGATAGGGCTCAATTTTATATATTTCTCCAACCCAGTTAACAATTGGCAAGTACACCAATCCATCTTCAAGTTTGATAGTGGCCTGTGAGGTGGCTTGGTTTACGTTTTTATCAAATGAGGTATCTGTTCTGCGTGTTGACTAGCTGACTTGATAGATCCTTGCCTCATGAGATGAGTGTAGCTGGAAGAGAGGATGGAGTGAATAAGGAGGCAGTATGGAGAGGCAGGGAAATTTGGGAGAAAGAGGAAACGGGTGACAGAGACAGGGAAGGGAGAGGAAAAGAGTTTGGTCAGGAACAGCAGAAGTAGAAGCATAAATAAGTAAAGACTCACTGAAGTGTGGACCCATCAGAGCAGAAAACAACTGACACTGAAGAACCAGTCAGGTAATCAGCACAGTGAGCACCAATGAGTCTTGACTGAAAGTAACTGATTTTGTCTGACCCCGTTGCTATGCAGCTTTGACTGTTTTGCTTGTTTTAACTTTTCATTCAAGTATATCTGGCTTCCCTCATTCAGCATTGTTTATGAGATACATCCATTTTCTTACAAATACTTGTAGATAGTACATTCTTATTCCTGTATATTGTTCCCTTCTATGGATATACCACAATATTCATTTCACAGAAGATGAGCATTTAAATATTGTCTTATTTTTGGCTTTTGTGAAGAGTGTGGCTATGAACATTCTCATACATGTCTTCAATGAGCTTGCCAATGCATTTCTGTTGGGTAATTCAGTTGACTCTTAAGCAATGTAGGTTTGAACTGTACAGGTCCACTTTATGTGTGGATTTTTCTAAATACAGTCAGCCCTCTATATCAGCAGGTGCTGCATCTACAACCAAATATGTATTCTAAGTATAGCATTCACAGAATGTGAAACCTGCATATGTGAAGGGCTGGTTTTTCATATACTTGGGTTCCATAGGGCCAGATGCAGGACTTGAGTATCCACAGATTTTGGCATACACACGTGTCCTGAAACCAATATCCCCCTGCAGATACTGAAGAGCAGCTGTACATCTAAGACTGAACTTTCTGGGTCAAAAGGTCTGAGGTAGTGTTTAGTATTTATAGACGAATGGTCTTCTTAGGAGGCTATTCTAATTTACACTCCCACCAGTGGTATATTAGAGTTTAGATGCTACTCATTCTTGTCAACATTTGGGATATGCTGTGTTTTTCAATGATCTATTCTGGAAGTTTAATAATAGCATCAGGTTGTGATTCTAATTTGCATTTTCCCAATGATTAATCAGATTACTCATATTTTCATATTATTGGCCATTTGGATAACATCTTGTTAAAATGTTCTTTCAAATATTTTTTCCATTTGTCCAATTCTTAAAACATTTGTTATTTTACTTGTGGGTCCTCAAATAGGGTTTTAAGAAAAAGTGATGGCAATGATTATCTTTTTCTTGCTTTAAATCTCAGGAGAGCTTTTAACAGTTCAAGGTAGGTATGATGTAGGGTAGATACAGATAGATATAGATTGGTTTGATCAGATTTTAAAAGTTCCTTTCTAATCCTAATTTTATTCAAATTTGATTTGAAAATAGGTGTGAAGTTTTATCTACCATTTTTTTGAATCTGTAAAGATAATTAGATTTTTTTTCTTATTAATTCTATTAACATGATAAATAACAGGATTGAATTTTGCCTCTCTAAAATAAACCTGGTCATGATACACTACTTTTTAAATATATGCCTGAGTTCACTTACCTAATACTTCATTTGGAATTTTTATGACTTTTTTTTCCATTAGAGATATTAGATTTGCATGTACTTTTCTTTTTGGTAAATAGTCTTGCTTGATTTTGACATCCAGGTCATACCAGGTACATTTAAAAAGTTAGAAGTGTTTTCTTATTTTCTATTGCTGAAATAATCTGTGCAAGACTAGTATAATTTCTTACTTAAATGTTTGAAAGAGTCATTTATGGCACTACCTGAGGCCTGGGATTGTGGGCGCGTGTGTGTGTGTGTGTGTGTGTGTGTGTGTATGAAGGCTTTCAATTACAGATTCAATTTCATTAATAGATAAGAATATTCAGATTTTTATTTTAATATGTGACAATAATCATATGTTTCAAGGAATTTGTCCCTTTCATATAAATGTTCAAATGTATTGCTGTTAAGTTGCTCACAATATTCTCATACTAATGTTTTAAACGTCTTCCAATTGTGCTGAGGTCACCTTTCCTATTCCTGAAATTCATGTGTGTCTTCTTTTTTTTTCTTATCAGTTTTGCTAGAAAATTATCAGTTTTATCTATCTATCTATCTATCTTGGCTATCATCTATTTTAGTCTTTTCCAAAAAAAAAAAAAGCCGTGTCTGTATTGATTTTTCAGCATTGCACATTTTCCCATATAATTAATTTGTGCTATGATCTTTATCATTGCCTTTATTCTACTTTCTTGGGTTTCTTTCACTGTTCTGCTTCTAAGTTCTTGAGATAGAAATTTAGATAATTGATTTTTAGTCTTTCTTTTATAAAATATTCCTGGTTATCTGTAACAAATCACCCCAACTCTAAGTGACTTTAAAAGACAACTTATTATTTTCCACGTCTATGGATTCTCAGGTAATAATCAACTGTTTGGTCCTCATTTTGAGTCCCACAGAAGGTAGAAGTAAGGTGACAGCTGTAGGTAGACCTGCATGCAGGCTTTGTCACTCCCATGTTGGGATTTGGACTGAGATGGTTGGAACGTCTGGGTGGCTGGTCAGGTGTCTCCCTAACGCTCATGCAGGTCCCCACATGCTGAGCTTCTGCTTTTCCCCTGCTTTTTGTCCTCAGGGTGGAGACGTTTTACATGGTGGCTTACCTCCCCCAGGAAGACCATGGCAGTAGATTGAAACAAAAGTTGCAAGATTTCTTATGATCTAGCCTTGGAAGCCACATAGCCTAACTTCTTAGATTTTTGTTAGTTAAAGCAGTTACAGGCCAACAGAGATTGCAAAAGGGTGGAGAATTCCTCCTCTCAATCAGGGAATTGTGTCCAAACAAGAAAAAAGGATGCCAGCCTTGTTGGAAAGACCACATCACACTCATATGTTCATTTTCCTAAAAATAAAATTACTAGCTGCACACCACACATTTTAATGTTCCATTTTAATTATCATTCAACTCAAACTATTTTCTAATCTACATAAACATTTCTTCTTTGGGTTATTTTGAAGTATGTTTTGGGATTTCTTTTTTAAACATTTGAGAAATTTTCAATCGTCTTGTTATAAAATGCTAGACTAATTCCACTGTGAACAAAAAATATACTCTGCACTATTTCAATTCTTTACAATTTGTTAAGGCTTGCTTTATATTCCAGCACATGGTCAATTCTGTTGTTTTTTTTTCTTTAAAATCTATGTATACTGGAAAATAATGTATATTCTGCAATGATCAGATTCTGTTTTCTTTCTGTACATATGTGCATGTATGTAATATATAATTTCACATTTTATACATGTATATTTTAAATATGTATATTTAATTCATGCAATTTGTTAATCATGATTTTCATATCTTTATATCTTTAAGAATTTTTCATATTCTTGTTTTATCAGTTACCAAGAGAAGCATAGTGAGATTGCTTTATTTAATTTTACATGTGCCCTTTCCTGACTACAATTTTTGTTTCATATAATTTGAAGCTCTATTATGAGGCACATACAAACTTAGGATCACCACATATTCCTAGTAGATTAACACTTTGTTATTATAAAATGTTCCTCTTTAACTATCTAGCTATGCGTTTTTCGGTACAACAGACTTTTTATGATATGATTACAGTTGTATCAGTTTTCCTTTGGTTAGTTTATTTTCTTTTGGTTAATGACTTTGCATGTCATTTCATTTTCTAAACTTTAGTTTTTCCCTTTTTTGTATTCATTTATCTGAGAAACTCTCTTTATATATCTGTATCTACATTATTTTAATATATTTTAACCATCTTTGACTTTTAACTGTAGTATCATACCATTGACTTTAATGTAACTACTAACATATTTAGATTAAATTTACCATTTTATTGTTTTCTTAAATTCACCATATATTTTGCTACTTTTATGCTCAACTCTTACTTTTCTCAAAATTTATTTTGGTGTTCTATTTGCCCTTTTTATTAGACTGTCGGTCTTATGTTCCTTTATTATTGTTTTAGTGGTAATTCTAGATAGTAAAACATCTATTATTAAAGTCTAATATAAATTAGTACTTTAACCACTTCCCAGATAATGCTAGAACCTTACACTTTAACTCTTTTTAAACTTTTCCTACCTTTTATACTATTGTATGTGTTTTAATTTTGGGTATTTAAACTCCACAAGACATCATAGTTATTATTTTATAGTCAGAAGTAATTTAAGTTTGTTTACATATTTACCTTTTCTGGCACTCATTATTGCTT